AGCAGTTGTGCAGAGAAACAGAGTGAGGGGTCCCGCGGTGTCGGAGCAGTTGAACACGAATCTGTATTTAGGGCAAGACTCTAGAAAACCTAGGTATTCCTTCTGTCAACTCTAGTCACGTTGTAACCTCTTCCAAGCATTTTTAATCCAAGGTTTGTGCCTTCTATTTCTTCTTTCGAACAGTTTTCCATGGGGTGTTTACAGACCTGACGTTTTTCCCTTAGTCTTATTCTTCGTAAGCTTTTCCAGGCGCTTGGCTTTCCTACTGCCCTGGTGGGAAATCCTGTAATCAGTCCCATCTAAAAGAATTTTTAAAAGGAAAGCAGGATGATCTGTAAATAGTAAATAGAAATCTCATCTTCGCTCACATTTAGGAAAGCACGAGGCAGGACAAGAAAGCCACAGCCGTGACATCAGCCCTGCTTCGTAGAGGACACCTGGTTTCATGGCAGACGTGCACGTGTGTGCTGTATGCTGCAGAGCTTCACCCACGTGGACCTCGGGTCTGCCGTGCTCAGCTCTCGTTTGCTTTCCGCGGGGACATGGGATGGGTGTTCTCAGGGAGAACGTACAGGGGACAGACCGCTTCCTCAATAACAAGCGTACTTGGAAAATACATAGAGAGCGTAATCTACATGTGATATGAAGAGTATTGGGAAAGGTAGGGGCCTAATTAAGGATGGCACTCAGTTATGTTTGACTTACCCCTTAGGAAATGTTTATGTCACGTAAGTCCTTCTAGGGCATGTGAAATAGTCATAGGACATAATCCGGATGTTCCTAAATTTTCCAGTTTGTGTTTCAACACAAGTTCAGCAAATCTAAAAACATACTTCCATTTGACATGGGGTGATGAGCACAGTGCAACATACAGGTGATGTATTATAGAATTGTACCCTTGAAACCTATAGAATTTTATTAACCAATGTCACCCCAATAAATGCAATAAAAAATTAAAGTGTTTCATTAAAAAAATTCAGTGATGACAAATTAAAGGGCTTATTGTGAAAACTCCATTAATTCCACTTCTGCCAGGAAAGTTTACCTTCTCAGGAACTAGTACTTGAAGAGAAGTAAAACCAACAAACCCTTCAGAGGTACTTTAATCAGCGTTGCGCTGAGACTGCAAAGAATCCCTCCTCACATCGCATCTCGTTTCACGAGGCCGCGTCCTGGGTTGGAGAGACAGGGTATTGTGCCGGCTTGTTCCCTCTCGGCGGCCGGAAACCCGCAGGGAGGAGCCGGGCAGCCTCGGACTCATCCTCACTTTGTGTGGTTTGTGTGATTGGGGTCATTTCCCCTCTCACCCTTCAAAAGCAGCCAGTCACCTTTGGACTCGCACTGAAATACAGTTACATGAAATCTAACTTTGCTCTCATACCACGTGTTCCCCATTTAACATCCACCTTCAATGAACTTCCTATTAATGTTTCCAGTGAAGAGTTCAAAGTGGTCCTTTAGCTTTCAGCATTTCAACATGAGATGAATATTGCAGAAGATAGAACTGTTGTCATAGAAATGGTCAAAAGACCGTACTCTTTCCTTCAGGTCCCGGGGGGGTGGGGGGGTGGTGTTCAGGGAGCAGAGGCTGTACGTTGTGGGCAGGGGCCCCGGGACAGCCAGCAGGGCTGACGGCAGGAAGCCTGGCCACTCGTCCAGCGCTTGGGGCTTGGGTTGCAGGCTGCAGCCCAGAAGCGGTGACCTCCCTTCAGGCACGGGCTCTGAGCCGTAGGAGCCGACACCGGGCCAGCTTTCGGACGTGTCGCTGGGAAGGGTGTGTGTGTGGGTTGGCCGTGCTTGCTCTAGTCCTTTTGTGTCTTAAGAACCGAGTATTTGTAAGGAGGCCTGAGGGAACTCGGTCAGCCAGGCCTTTGCCAAGTGTGCCATTACACAGGCTCCATCTGTAGCTTGGTGGTGGCCTCACTGTTTGTCTAGGTGACTTCAAAGTGGTGTTCGGGAAAAGTCCCTGGCATACTTTGATTCCTACGAGGCACTGTAATGACAGTGACGTAGGCAAGGAAAAGAAGAGTTAAAGCGACTGTGTCTTGGACTAGGTGAACAGGGAAAGTTGCACGTAAGGCTTAGAGTTACTTGGCATTTGCATTTGGTTCTTATAACCGGTATGAATTGTCTGTTTCCAAATCCATTAGTGATCTATCAGCCCCCAAGCCTTAAAACAATCCCCATCTCCTTTTTTGCTTTACGAAACATGGCAGCTGTCCAGCTGGTGTGGCTCATTGGCTGAGCGTAGACCTGTAAACCAGGAGGTCACGGTTGGATTCCAGTCAGGGCACATGCCCAGGTTGCCAGCTAGATCCCCAGTAGGGGGCGTGCAAGAGGCAGCCAATCAGTGAGTCTCTCATCACTGATGTTTCTTTCTCTCCCTTCCTCTCTGAAATCAGTTAAAATATATTTTAAAAACGAAACATGGCAGCAATATCCGTGGGCAGCAAACCAGACTGTGTGGCGTGATTTCCACAACCTTACCTTGCTTCCCGAGTTCTATAATAAGCATTGAACTTTTTTGGGAAGAATAATTTAGTTTGGAAAGGCAAGGAGAAAAGCAAATTAGGAAGAGAGAGGAGAAGTGAGAAGTCTTGCAAGGCTGAGGAGCAAGGTACTAAAAAATCTGAATGGAAGTATTTTGAGAGCAGTGTTTCCTACGCTAAAGGTTACAAGAATTCTTTTACAGAGAAGTTAACATCTTAATCTGCTGGTGACAAGTTTAAAGGGAAGCTGTAACGTTGTCTTCCTGGCAGGCAGGTTTTATCTTTATTTTGTGTTTTGTGGAAGTTACAGCCAGTGGTCCTGCTCCGTCCTGGACGGGTGATGCATGGGGGGGAGGGGGGGGGCGCGTCCTCAGCTCTGTATGAGGCCAGGCCAATGGACGGATCCCCAACCTCATGTATCGGTTCCCCAACCTCATGTATCGCTTCCGCAGTTTGGGAAAGTAGCCTGCGCAGATGGCAGCGGCTAAATGGTGCCTGTCATTTTAGGGGGGATTTGGTCGGGACTTGGAATGGCATCCACATTCGAACGTTTTCATGCTCTGCTGCTTTGGCCTTTCCCCTGGTTCTGTGGCAGCCTTTCCGTGTGACAGAGACGCAAGCCTGGTTTCTAGAAGGTGATGGTCACGCCCTGGAGTGCAAGGTGCCACTAGCAGGTTTCTCATCGCAAGTCTTTGAATTTCATGAACATTGTGATGGTCTTTTCATCAGTTCCAACATTCCATACATAGTTGTCCAGGACAAGGAAAAGGAATATTGATTTTTGTTCTTTCCATGTAAATAACTTTGTGCAGGTGACTTCCTGCTTTCATATGGAGAAGAAACGAGGTCCCTTGTATTGTAACTCCAAAATTAAAAGATTGTGCACGTATAAGGGGTTGAATATATTTTGTAAAACTAATGCATTTGTATTTCTGTGCTGTTCTAAAGTTTACCTTTTTACTTATATTAATTAAAGATATAGAAACTATATATTTAAATCATGTAAATGGGACACAATTTAGGGGGTTTTCCAATCTTATTTTTCATCAGCTTCTCACACACACGGTATGCTGCTCAAACTTGTGTGTGTGTGTGGTGTGTGTGTGTGTGTGTGTATGTGTGTGTATGTGTGACATGAACATTTGAACATTTCAGTCAAGTACTGAGCCAGAGAAGGTAATTGAAGTTTTTAGAAAGCTTCTGTGCTTAGAACATACTTTGTTTGCTTGAAACATGAATGACTTAGAGCTGGAAAAATAGGATCAAGACTTAACTGTTTCAGGGCACTCGGTCATGGGCTCCTACATGTAGGAAGCTTTTGATTAACAAGTTGGTAAAGAGCAGGTGCTCACAAAAATAGTTTCAAGATTTGAGAGTCCAGGCTTCCCACAAACCCTTTCTAGGGAAGTTTAGCTTAGAAATCTTAGAAAGTTTTCCAAGGAGGTTTAGCTGTGGCACGTGTTTGATCCAAAAGGTAGTCTCTCTCTTTGCTCTAGTAAGATTTATCATTTGTAGCAGTTCTTTGTTTCTATTGTCATTTATTTAAAAAAGAAGCGTTAAAATTATAAATTGCATCTAATCATACTGAATTGTAAAACTCCTACTGTATCTTTATTTTAAAGAAAATGAGAATAAAATTATCCAATTTGTCCTGCATTCAGTCGTACTTGACCTGTCTTTCGAGAACTCCCCTTCCCGTGGGTGGTGGGGGCAGCTCTGACCTGCTTCCCCATTGGACAGCAGCTCCCGCTTCCTAAGGAAGCAGCCTACGGAATGGCCCAGAGGACTCAAGGCTGATCCCAACCCCCTGTGCACATTTCTCAGGTATACACATGGGAATAAGTACATCTTAGATCTTTTTGGTTCATGCCAACTTGCTGTTCAAAGTGGTGCTGCCATTGTGCCCTCCCACCAGCCTGGCATCAGAAAGCCATTTCTCCACATGGTCTCCAGTGCTTTGGTATCACCAGGAATTTAAATTTGGGCTGATCAGGTACGGGTGAAGTAGTATCTCATTGTGAGTTTCAATTTGTATCTCCTGGAGCAGCGGTCACCAACTGGTGGTCCATGGCGTCCGAAAGGTTGGTGACCGCTGTCCTGGAGTACTAACGAGGTTGAGTACTTTGTTTATTTACTGACCATTTTATGAAATGCCTATTGGAGTCTTTTACCTATTCTTCTATTGGGTTAATTGTTTATTTGCTTCAGTTTTTATTTTATGAGTATGTATATATATGTTTTTCTGGATACTATTTCTTTGTTAATTATG